AGTGTTTATAGATGGACAAATAACCTCTATTACTAAGGAAGAATAAGGAATGGTAAATGGGGTAAGAATAAAAAAATTGCAACAATCTCAGAAGAAGCTTGGAAAAAAGAAGAGGGTGGACAGTGATATAAACTACAATTTAATATATACAGTACATGAAGGCAAAAATTATAATCTAAGTGGATAAATAAACAGCTAAAGATGGTGGTATAATATTTAGAATTATAAGACATAACAAATGATGAAAAGAAAAGAAAGAAGATAGCAAAGGTTGCCTTTGTAGATTGGAAATGGGGAGGGTGAAATGGGAGAGGTTTTTTTTTATTTAATTGCAATGTTTTAACCTCTTTGTACACATGTGCATGTGATACAGTTATGATAATTGGAAAGCAGGAGACAAAAATGTGAGCATATTTTATTCTTCAAGTGAGTGAAACAGGATAGATTTATTGTAAATATACTCTGCATACAGCACAATTTCTAGTACATAGTACATACTCAACAAACATGAGTAAAAAATAAATGTATTTACAAAATTATTTTTAAACAAAAAGTAAAAAGAAATCACATTTACACACTCAAAAAAAGAGAATCATGAAAGATTTCAAAAGTTATAAAATGTACTGCACTTCAATTTTTGGAACCTTTGGTAGGGCTTTTGTTTGGAGATCAATATATGTTGGAAGGAGCAAAATATTTGACTGTCTACATTTTTGTGAATTGCCAAAAACACTTCCCCATCTACTACCTTGTGCTTAAAATTCTGTAAAATTTTCATTGCTTTGTCTCAAAGGTTTGTAGACCAGTTTAAATGCCCTAGATGAGCCAATGTTTTAAGGGTGTATATCTCCATGTGAATGCCTTGACTTTGACACCTAAGAACAGATTTTGATGAGCCTTATGGAGAGTTACTATGAAGTTATGTAAAGGAGAGCATAAGGTATCACAACCAAAATGGAGAAAGAGAAGAGTTCAAAACCAGCTTTCTATATTTCATCATTTTGCCAGCATCAAAGAAAAGAATCAGGAAATGACATCTCTGGAGCCAGAGAAGCTAGTTCCTTTAACGTCTTTTCTTCTCAATGTTCCCAAGTGAAAAATGAAAATAAGGCTATCCATGGTAAATTCATTGTAGAGGAATATTTTCATAAAGATAGAGAAAACTATTTACACTGATAATGTTAAACCTGCCCAATAGCCTTGAAAAGTAACCAATAGCCATGACTCCCTGCTTTAAAAGTAAAAAAAAAAAAAAAATCCAACATTAGTGTAACAAACAGGTACTGTATAAAAATAACATCATTTCAGGTTATATTATTTGAGATATTCAAATATTTAGTAACTGGTATCATAATGGTAGGCAATAGAAAATATCTGTCAAAAGCCTTAAAATTGTGAATTATCTGTTATTCAACAGTTACATTTCTAGATTTTATCCTAAGGAAATAATCAGAAAGTTTTTGAAAAACTGTTTTACAGTCTATTAGTACAGACTTTATCATATCCAAAATTTGGTTTCTGATATATCAATTTAATAAATCATACTATATCTTCAAATGGAATGCTATGCAGCCATTTATAAACAATTATGCTAGATCTCTATATGTTGACTTAGAAATTATTGCATAGCCAGCATACAGTTAAGCGATGAAGATACAGTTTTAAATGATATACATACTAAAATATTACTGTTATATTTTAAATATTTATTTATTTTATTTATAAGGCAGGTTACAGAGAGGCAGAGAGATAAGTGGAGGTCTTCCATCGCTGCTTCACTACCCAAATGGTCATAACAGCTGGAGCTGTGCCAATCTGAAGCCTGTAGCCAGGTCTCCCACACAGGTGCAGGGGCCCAAGGACTTGGGCCATCTTCCACTGCTTCCCCAGGCCATAGCAGAGAGCTGGATCGGAAGTGAAGTAATCAGGACTCAAACCGGTGCTCATCTAGGATGTCAATGCCACAGGCGGCGGCTTTACCTGCTACACCACAGTGCCAGCCCCACTAAAATATTATTAAAAAATATTTTAATTAACTAATTTAACAGATATGGTGAGAGAGAGAGAAAGAAAAAGAGAGAGAAAGAAAGAGACAGTGAGACAGAGAGCTTCCATTCGCTGGTTTATATCCCAAATACCCTCAAGGGGCAGGATTGGGCCAGACCAAAGCCAAGAACTGAGAACTCAATCCAGGTTTCCCAGATTGGCAGAAACCCAATCACTTGAGCCATCAGTGTTGTCACTAATCCCATTTTTGTGAGAAAATACAGATATGTATATAATAAAGCCTAGAATGAGTATCCTAAAACATTAAAGTATTTCTATGTGATTTATGAATAAATTTTTTGAAATTTTTCTGTATGTTTAACACACTCAGCAGTATGTAATGACTTTTATAATAATTTAATAAAAGTAGATCTGTCTCACTTTTGAAGACTAAAATACATTGTCTACAATCTTATCACAACCCTATAGAGTCCTTTGTCCTGGTTGAATCCTGATGTTCTATTTCCTACATAATGCCCTGCCAACCAAATGAATGAGAACTTAAAACTAAGCACTATATGCTAAAGTTAAAAGCCCCACGCTAATTTCTAAGAATTATATAGTGGTAGTATTTTATACTATGGTATAATTTGAAAGCATAATTACCCACATATAAGCCTTAATCATTAGTAGAAAATGAAAAATGCATTGCATTGGGATTTAGGAAGCTTCAGTTGTTTCCTTCTCAGCCTCTAGCTCATTTGGGTGAATAGCTCTCCAGGAATTCTTAGGGGCCCACTGGAGATTTCACAAGCTTGAGTCTACCCAAATTTTATTTTTATCACTCAAAAATTTAATATTTTTTCTTGTTTTTATCATTTTCTATAAGACTACAATTTAATGGAAATGACTTTCCCTGCTGATTTTTATAGATTTAAAATGGAAGATTTAGATTAAAACATATCTGTGTCTATATCTATATCTGAATCCTCACTCCAACACTTATAAATTGCATAGTCTTGGACAAATGTATTAACCTTTCTGAGGTTCATCATCTTAGAAATGAGCTAATAAATTTATCTACCTCTTAAGATTTAAGGAATAAGAGGCCAGTACTGTGGCGTAGCGGGTTAAAGCCCCAGCCGGTAGTGCCAGCATCCCATATGGGTGCTGGTTCAAGTCCTGGCTGCTCAACTTCAGATCCAAATCCCTGCTAATGCTCCTGGGAAAGCAACAGAGGATGGACCAAGAGCTTGGGTCCCTCCACTCCTGTGGGAAACCCAAAAGAAGCTCTCAGCTCCTGGCTTCAGCCTCATCTAGCCCAGGTCATTGAGGCACTTTTGGGGAGTGAACCAGCAGGTAGAAGCCCCCCCCCCCCCTGTCTCTCTACCTCTCTCTGTAACTCTGCCTTTCAAATAAATAAAATAAATCTTTAAAAAAGTTTAAGGAATAAAATATTACATCTAAATCCCTAGAAACAATTCCTAATACATAGGAAGATCTTGACAAATACTAACTGTTTTGCGTTTGGCTATATTAGTTACCTCTATTCAAAAATTAAGCCCCAGTAATAAAATAATATATAAAATTAGGAAGAGGAAAACCAAAGTTTTGTTAAATAGAGCAGACTTTTATGTTGATGATAAGTAGGAATTTACTGAATTGATAGGAAAAAGACGAAATGACTCTTTACCCAGAATTTCCTGGATATTATAAAACAGAGTCCTTAATGCACAAGAACTTGAGTCAACTTTTTTTTATTAGTAGTAAGACCAATTCTTTTGAAAATACTTAACAGCAACCATAACTTAGAATAATTTAATAGAATCAGCCCTTCATTTCATAATAGTGGTTATGGTTAAACAATGACTTCATTAAAGTATTTATTTTGGTAAACTCTTGATCAATTTCCACTCAAAAGTCTTCCTCAATAAGTTACATTTCAACAGGTTTAATATCCAGGCTTGTACAAAGATTGCCTGTGATCTTAAATAAGCAGTCTTTAAAATGAAAAAAAAAAAAAAAAAACACTTGAAAGTGCTCTTGCAATTCAACCCCCAATTTCTGACTTCCACATGGAGAGTAAGGGATTTATCAGATATGTGATGAAGAACCATGTTTTCATGTTCCTTCATTTTGGCAGGTACTCTTGTTTCAATTGAAAACATTTCCTCACTATTAACAAAAACCTAGAGGGCATTCATGAGTTAAGATCAGGAAAATAAAACTGAGAAAGAAGACTGGAACAACATGTGGTTGTCGTTTTCAGGGCCACAGAGAGGGGAAGTGGTTTTCCACTGCTAGTGAAGCAAAGGCAAGTGCAGGGACCACATTAGCGTAGAGGACAGACAGTGAAAATGCAGAGATGGTGGTTCACCTTTTCATTCATGGTGAAGCAAGCGATGACTTGCCCTGCAGCCAGGACTGCTTCGTTCACAATCTTGAGGCCATTTCATATTTGAGATAATCATTTTCTATTTATATTTGTGACCTTTCAAAACTATTCTGAATGATGTGGTCATCTTAGTTCCTCAGGCTCCACTTCCAAAGAGAAGGGCCTTAGTGGTCTAGGACTTTCCCAAGTCTGCAAGTAGAAGTTTGATTGAAAATCACTATGCCTGATTTTTCTTTCTTAGCAAATAATTGTGTTATTATGCCTACAAAAAGAATAAGAAACAAAAAAGGAAAAAGTTTCCTTTGTTTTACAACACCACATTATAAAATGAGTGTTAAGCTATGCAGATCATTATGTCATTCTTCCAGCCTCCTTTATAGCTGTGGTTACCTTTGCTTTCTTTCCTATTTCATTTCCCTCTTCCACTCCACACTTAACTCCTGCTTCTCAAGAAGATATGTACCTAAGATAGCTTAGTATTTCCTTGGGGATGGCAGCTCCCCTTCTTCCCATCCCCTGATGGTCATTGCTACCTGATTACAGCACACTTTCCAGCCAGCCCAGATAAAATCTCAGAATAATTCTCACTCCAGAAGACTTTGTTTGGGATGAAACTTACCATTTCCAATTTAGAGCACAGACTCTTTAACCTTGTACCTCCTTTACCCAAAAACATCGCCCCTGTCTGTTGTGGGTCCTGAGTGCATTTGTTAACCTTCCTGAAGTTCACCTTCCTCACCTGTAAAGTGGAAATGACATCACTAACTCCACATTGAGTCTGGGATAAGGTAATGCATACAGAACACTATAGAATGAGCATTATGTCCTTAACATTATCTAATGATTTCTTATTCCACTAATTTTAATTGTTGCTATCCTAACTAGCTTTCTCCTTCAGAAAATTCTGGCCCATCTTTGACACAGCACAGTGCCAGCACACAATCTGCCTCAAATATAATTACCCATTCCTTACTTGCTCCTGTTGATGTCATTCATTCATCAATAGTTGATGTTTATAGTATATTCACACTATCACATGCCCCAGTTAGATAAACTGCAAAGCATACATTTCAAAAAAAGTGATTTTAAAGCAATATCTTGACTAGTTTCACTACACACTCACCCACAGGTTTCTGCAACATTATTTCCTTTACAGAGGGAAAACCCTGGTTAGAAGTGTGTCAGCAGCAGCCAGGCCTTCCGCTCCCTAACAAGATAATGATGGAGAAGCTGCTGCTGCTGCCTCTGAGAGTGATGGGGGAAGCAGTGGTTACAAACGCTGACCACGCACTTCCTCTTACCAGTCATTGATAACCAATCTTTATAACAGTAATAGGTAATAATCGTGTTGTCTTCACATTAGAGATCAAGAAATTAGTGCATAAATTTTAAACTACTTGCCAAGGTCATGTAACTGCAAAGTAAGGATGTGAACCTACCCAACTCTTGAACCTATACCTTCATCTAAACATATTCCTGCTTCCTCTTTCGCTGCCCCTCTTTAGGAAAGTGTGGGGTTTATGTCAAACACAACTGGGGACCCCTGGAAGGGTGTGCTGATGGAAGCATGGAGGCACAGTCTGCCTTTCTTTCTTGAGCCTCTTACCTTCATCTGTAGAACTCACATACACTGACTTGCACCACTCAATTTTCCTGGCCCTCAAAATGTATGCCTTAAAGTATGAGTTGGGTTTTCCAGTTCTGCATAGAGAATTTTTTGATATCTTGGGTAATATAAAAGTATGTATAAAAATGTGAATACGAATGCAGTGACCCTAACTTCTTTGTTGCTGTTTTTGTGTTTGTACCCTTAACATAGCATCCTATACATGATAAATCTTCAACAAAATTAGGAGGAGCAGGTCCTGTTAACAACCTTTGTTAATTATTAGCATGTGTGAGATCTTGGCAGCCAGCTGAGACAAGGCTCTATGATGGTGCTTAATTACCATAAGAGCAACTAACATTTATTGTATAGTGTCAGGGTTCTTGATACTATCTGGAATGAACACTTTACATGAATTGTGAGCTGAACCCCAGAGAATTCAAATAATCTACATCCATTCTGATTTTTGACAGGAAAAAAAAACTAGCAAAAACATCGGTGGAAATTTGACATAGTGGTTAAAATGCTGTTTGGGAGACCCATCTCCCTTATTAGAGTACCTGGGAATGAGTTCCAGCTCTGCTTCTGATTCTAACTTCCTAGGAATGTGCACCCTGAAGGTAGCAGGTGATGGCTGCAGTAGTTATGTTCCTGCCCCCGCCCCCCCTACCACATAGGAGACCTAGATGGTAAATTGGGCTCTTGGCTTTGTCCTGGCCCAGCCCTGGCTGTTGTAGGCATTTAGGGAGTGAACCAGTAGATGGAAACTCTTCTCTCTCTTCAATTCTAATTCTGATTCTCTGCTTTTCAAATAAATAAAACTGTAAGGTCTAAAGAACAGAAGCAACTTGATATTTCTGCAGGTTTCAAAAACTGACCAGTTTCAAAGGAAAAGTACTCCCCTTGCCAACCAAGAAGGGCTACTGCAGATCTCCAATACTCTGAGCCCGAATGTCTCCCAGTGTTGTTTGAATCAAAGCAGCTTAGAGAAACTCCTCAGTGGACCTGATTGGTCAATAAATAGAGAAGACAGGGCTGTGCTTGAAGCAGGAAATCAGGGAGGGAGACATTCACCTGCACAAAAGACTTGAACCCAAAAACTATTTCTAAGGGATCCATGACTATTTGTGAGAACACATGCTGCCCTGACCCCCCTCATGGCCAGCGGTGGCCTCATATTAATCATGACATTCTCCCACAGCACTGGGTGCTCCCATACTCCCACAACAGGCTTTCTGTTTGCTGATTTCTTTCACTACACTGAGAGAAGATTCAACTTCCTGGTATTGTCTTCACAGGGAGAGAAACGAAGTTTCTGAGAAAAAGCCTACTGTGTACCTCTAGGAGTACTCAAATGCTTTTTTGTGATTTCTTCATGCTTCTACCTTTCAGATGCTTTCTTTGCTAAATCAAGAGTCAAAGTTTATCCTGGTACACATCAAAGGCCAATTGTGGCTTCAGAAACATTTCACAAATTTTTCAAAATCTCTGAAAACTTTCATTTATGTTAGTGAATTTAGCAGAGTGATTATACTACATGTAGTCTGTAAGGTAGTAGAATTGGACTATACTAAAATGCACTAAAAATGACAGTAATAATAATGTGGTCTTTTAAAAATATTATTTCAGAAGACATTTTCTTATCCTACCTACACTGACTTGGGATCTACCCCTTAGAAATTACTTTCCACTGAAATACAAACATATCCATAGCAACAATCAGGAATCCATCCTTGACTATTGGATAACAAGGAATGTACAGTATTTTTTTTAAGTACTGTTTTCTCATAACTAAGAGAGATAACTAAAAATATAGGAGCAAGTGCCTAAATACACTTAAGTTTCCACGTTAAGAATCCACTAATAGAACTAAAACAAAGTGAGACTGAGTAAAAAGGAATGAGTATACTACTTGGGTCAGAAAAACTGGGTCAGAATAAGGACCAGGTCTTGGCAGCCGTTATATCATGTGGCTGGGCAGTCAATTTCCTTACAACTCAGTTTTCTTCAGACAAAAACTATACCAATAACATCTACTCTTCATGTTAATTGGGAAGATTAAATGAGATATGGTATATAAAATCACAAAGCAAAATGTTAAATACAACATAACCTTAACTCTCCTACCAAAAAATACGCTTAACTTTCTTTACACTTCAGGATAATATTAGTACGTTATTTGCCACTTAAGTTGAAAAAAATTAATCAAGACCACATAATTATTTAAGAAGCAATTACAGATGTGAGAAAGACAATATCCATCCACCATAACCACTAACAGGATGAAGTGATACTAGTTGCATGAATAAAATTAATCAATTTCTATTGCCTAGGAATAAAAATATTAGCACCAAAGTAAATTGCCATACCTATAAATTATGTAGCTTAATAAGCAATTTTTTGAATTTCAACTATAATAGTGTGCCAGACACTATCTCTACAGATACATACACATAATGTGATGGTTGGTTTTGTAGATCAACTTACTGAGTTAAGGGTTACTCAGATGACTGGTAAACTATTATTTTTTCTCAATTATTACATTAATTTTTTCAACGTCCCAGTAAGTACTCAGCCCATCCCTCTTCTACTGAAAGGGTAATCCAGGTGGATTTGCATTTGGTTTGAATGATTGGGCTGCCCCAAGTGTGTCTGCAAGTGTGTTTCCAAGGAAACTGCCACACGGGAGAGTAGGTGGAATAGTGAAGATCTGTCCTCATTGTGGTTGGTCTCCATCTAGTAGGCTGCGGGACCCAGAAACAAAGAGAAAAGGCAAATTCTTTCTCTGCCTTCTGAAACATGAATGTCCTTCTGCTTCTGTCCTGGAACATCAGAACTCCAGATTCTCCAGATCTTGGACACCAAGACCTGCAGTAGTCCCTGTACCTACCTCCTAGCTCTTGGGCCTTTGGTCTCCAACTGAGAGTTACACTACTAGCTTCCTTGGTTCTGAGGCCTTTGGACTTGAGCTGGTCCACTCCACTGGCTTCCCTGGATCTCTAGCTTGCAAATGGCCTATCTTCCCAGCCATCTTCCTGGCCTCCATGACTCAGAGAGTCAATGCCCTTAAGAAATCTCTTCTCATGTATCTCTATATCCTATCAGGAATATCTCCCTGAAGGACCCTGATTAGAACATTCACCAAAGTATAATTTATTCTTCACCATAATGGTATAAAGTTGGAACCATTCCTTTACAAATAAAGAAAGAAGCCTTGAAAGGGATGATTAACTAACCAAAATTCCTTAGGTACTAACTCCAACTTGCTCATCACACTCATTATTTTTGAAAAGATATTTAACTACTTTTAACAATACAACATTATGGCTTAATTACCACTTTAAAATGTTTTCAGTTCGCCACCCATCAGTGTTATCTTCTATCCTGATACTCTAACACTTGTGATGATTGCAATTCCCAAACACTGGTGTTGTCTGCATTTTTTCCATTCACACATAAAGGGTAGATCCATTTACCACTACCAAATCCACTCAGAGCTAAGCATACAAATCCTGAACCCAGCTCTCAGAATATGTTTATAGCTCATGTTTTCAACTTGGTATCCTCACACAGTGTGAAGACATCTCTCAAATCACCAAAGCCAAAGAGATTAAATACCTAAGCACCAAAGATCTTCAATACAGTGTATTTGGGGGATAACTAACAATTTTTCCATATATCTGATATTGAAGGAACCTTTTGACTAAATTTGTTCTCTTTGAGAGAAGAAATCCTTCAGAAGAGCCAAGTTGAGAATGTGAGGCCAGCTTCCTTCCTACTACACCACTGGAAATAGTTTCCTTCTCCCTTTATTACATAAATCTAATCACCCATTCTCACAGCACTCTTCCCTTGGGTCTTCAAACATTCACAGTCTCCCAGGTGTGCAAAAAAGCCTGTCTTGGTAACAATATCCATGATTTTTCCGGGATGGTATTATTTGCCATCTCCAGGGAGTTGTTATGGGATTATCTGTTGACATTCTCAATGGTAGCTGTTTCAAATGGCATTAAACAGCATTTCATGAGTAGCTGCTCCTCATCTGGCATCAAGCCAGATAGGGTGGAAGTGGGGATGCAAAGATCCTGCTCTCAGAAAGCCTGAAATGGAATGAAGAGGCAGACATAGAAGTAGTATTTACAGGTTATAGTAAATGGAAAGCCTGAACAGGGATGAGGATCCAAGGAGAAGGAGCTAGGATAGAGGCAGAGGACAGTGGTGGGGCACCAAACTTTTAAAGAAGGAGGAAATGGCTTAAAACTGGCAGAAAAGCCAAAATATAAAGAGTGCAAAGCATGCCCGGGTTGGCTGTGAGTGGAAGGAGAGATAAGACAACAGCTGGAGCAAAAGACACAGTCCAGGAGGAGGGCTACTAGTTGCATTTTAACATGCCTTGAGGGTGAGGGATTCAATTGCCTTAATATGATGGTTGTCCCCTATGGCTGACTGCTGCCGAGGAAAATGTAATGGTGATGGATGGGTATCTGAACAGCTTCAGATGTAATTAAATTACATCTGGAAATTGGAGGGGAAAGCATGTCCTCTGAACACCGACTGGAATTTTAGATTCGTGTAAAAACTACCTGAAGTTCTGTTTGTTTGATGAATACCATATTCTGGAGTTCTGAAGCAATTTATTTCGGCATTTGTGAAACAATTATGTGTGCAAAGGCACTGTTAAATTTTCAGAGTAACCATGAGTTCAGATCCTAACTTCACTGTTTGCTGGAGGTATTCACCCTGGATAACTTAAAATATCTCTATTCCAGTTTCCTTATCTGTAAAAATGAGATGATAATAAATAGTACTCCCTTTGCAGTTTTGCCGGAGGGCAAATGAGTTAATTCACATGAAGCGTGTGGAATATTGACTAGCAATAGTCAAACCTTAATATAGTTAGCTACCATCAGCAATTGTTCTAATTATTAATACCATTATCTGGTCTTGCCTCTATCAGTTTTCACAAACATCAGGTCATCTATATACCCAATTTTTCAAAAGAATCAAATTGTCTACCCATGGCAAACGATTTGCTTTGAACACTAGATCAAGCTAGAATGGCAAGACTTCCAAATTTTCATTCATACAAAACCTCTGTTGAACATGAACAAACCTTTACTCCAAAGGTACCACAATTGCAAACAGTCTGGAATTATTTTTACAGAAGAACTGAAGCAGTAAAAAAAAAAAAAAAAAAAAAAAAAAAAAAAAAAATAGGCTCAGGTTTTTCTGTTTATTACAGTTACATTTAATCACAAGGCCTACAAAAGTTAAAGAAAATCTCATTGGGGAACAAAAAATAACAATAAAAACAATTAAAACGCTGGCGCCGTGGCTCACTAGGCTAATGCTTCGCCTGCTGTGCTGGTACCACGGGTTCTAGTCCTGGTTGCTCCTCTTCCAGTCTGGCTCTCTGCTGTGGCCCCAGAAGGCAGCAGAGGATGGCACAACTGCTTTGGCCCTGCACCCGCATGGGAGACCAGGTGGTAGCACCTGGCTCCCAGCTTGGGATCAATGCAGTGCACCAGCCGTAGCAGCCATTTGGGGGGTGAACCAACGGAAGGAAGACCTTTCTCTCTGTCTCTCTCACTGTCTAACTCTGCCTGTCAAAAAAAATTAAAAGTGTGAAATGTTGATAGGTATTGAAACATCCAAATTAATTTCACTTATAAGCAGCCCTGAGCATTAGAAAGTCTTGAGATTATGGCATGAACACAAACAGAACAGCAAGTCAACACTAAAGTTTTATGTAAGAAACACATCAAGGAAACCAGTTTCAAGTTTTCTCATTTCATATAAATCCCTGAAATACCAGCACATATAGCACCTTGCCTGGTCTGTGACACAAGCTGCTTTATTGAATTGAATGGAAAAACAAGTTAAATGGTTAAAAGAAAAATCTAAACTCCCCTTTGAAAATTGACAGGAGTATGTAATATCTATTACAAAACAGAAAGTGAAGTGAAAACATTGAAAAATTCATAATCTGATGCCGGTGCCGTGGCTTACTTGGCTAATCCTCCACCTACAGTGCCAGCATCCCATATGGGCGCCAGGTTCTAGTCCCAGCTGCTCCCCTTCCAGTCCAGCTCTCTGCTGTGACCCGGGAAGGCAGTGAAGGATGGCCCACATGCTTGGGTCCCTGCACCCGCATGGGAGACCAGGAGGAAGCAGCTGGCTACTGGCTTCAGTTTGGCATAGCTCCAGCCATAGTGGCCATTTGAGGGGTGAACCAACGGAAGGAAGACCTTTCTCTCTGCCTCTCTCTCTGTCTAACTCTGTCAAATAAAAAAAAGAAAAAGAAAAATTCATAATCTGTAATTAATGGAGATTATTCTAAAGAAATAAAGCTAAATATATTTATATATGTTATATATAATATATATTTATTAAACATTGGAGTGTACCAAATAATTGCAAATTTAAAGAATAAATTTATTTTCCGTGCTGTGCATAAATGAAAGTAAGACACAAATAAACTTTCCACAGGTCATATTGAAAAACAAAATAAAGAGAGGGAATGAAGAGAGACGGGGAAGACATTCACTTAGAAAAAAGTCCTAAGCAAAATACAGTCAATAACAGTAATTCATATTAATAACTATTAAGTTCTTCCAACTTAAGAAACTTAAGGTCATCAGTATAAATAGCATAATATAGCAAGTTTTATTTACAACTATGACTAGTTCTTTTTTTTTCTTCTTTTTAAGACTTATTTATTCATTTGAAAGGCAGAGTTACAGAGAGGCAGAAGCAGAGAAAAAGAGAGAGGGAGGCCTTCCATCCACAGGTTCACTCCCCCAAATGGCTGCAAGGGCCAGAGCTGGGCCAATCCAAAGCTGGTAGCCAAAAGCTTTTTCTGGATCTCCCAAACAGGTGCAGAGGCCCAAACATTTGGGCCATCTTCTTCTGCTTTCCCAGGCCATAGCAGAGAGCTGGATCAGAAGTGGAGCAGCAGGGACTTGAACTGGCATCCACATGGGATGCTGGCACTGCAGGCGGCAGCTTTTCCTGCTACACCAGAGCACCAGACCCAACTGTGACTAGTTCTTGATAGAGGGTTTAACTGCATTTGATATTATATTTTATAACAATTTCTAAATATTTGCTTTTTTTAGGATTCCTATGATTGCATTTTAACAGTCAATTATGTAGAAAATAAAATTCACCTGTAAAACTAATTTTGATTGTGGACATGATGGGAATAATTAACAACCCACCATAAATAATTTTAAAATTTGATAAAATAGGTGAGTCATCTGTTTTCATGCACTGGGCAAGAGGTTGATGTGGCTGTGATTCCTGAGGAGACTATGTAAGATAAGCTACACATTTGCATTAGATGAGGGCATTCTCCAAATTGTTGCTCAGGAAAGCAAATCCTAAGCAGAGGGCAACAGTCTTGCCAAAGTAGATTTTACCTAAAAAAAATAATAGGAACCTAATCCATCAATATATAAGAAAAGAGGGGAGGTTCCAAGGTGGCAAAATAGTGTCAGGGAGGTCTGATTTAGGGTCAGCGAAATTAATATTAAAAAAATGGAGGGGCTGGCGCCGTGGCTCAATGGGTTGATCCTCCGCCTTGCGGCACCGGCACACCGGGTTCTAGTCCCGGTTGGGGCGCCGGATTCTGTCCCGGTTGCCCCTCTTCCAGGCCAGCTCTCTGCTGTGGCCAGGGAGTGCAGGGGAGGATGGCCCAAGTCCTTGGGCCCTGCACCCGCACGGGAGACCAGGAGAAGCACCTGGCTCCTGCCATCGGATCAGCGCAGCGCGCCGGCCGCGGCGGCCATTGGAGGGTGGGCCAACGGCAGGGGAAGACCCTTCTCTCTGTCTCTCTCACTGTCCACTCTGCCTGTCAAAAAAAAAATTTTTTTTTTTAAATGGAGGAAGTTCACTCTCAGGGTAAAGTTGCAGGGGAAACTGCAGTGGGAAATCCTGCAAAAGCAATAGGAACAACCCAGACCTGTGCAGAAAGTGCAAACATGCAGCAAGTTGCAACAAGACAATGAAAGACCCAGTAGCTTGGATCCAGGGAAGAAAACACCTGCCCTGGCAAACCAGGTGAGATAGGACTGCATGAGCCCACGACACTGTTGATTCAACAGGACTGAGATCTTAGTGAACTGCACCTTTTTGAGTCCAGCCCGGACCCCTCAAGACAGCGGGTGACTGCTCACCCAGAGGTGGGGGGGAGGGGAGAAGCGGAGCATCTCTCTCTCCCTTTCTCTCTGCTACAATAGTGACCTGCAACCGATGGTGAGAGGACTGGCACCATTTTTGAACACTAGAAGTAGCAACTGTTCCAGCTCCTGTGTGTGCACCAAGCAGTTATTGGGGTCATCCTCCACCCAGTCGGATAGGGGCAGCCACAGCAGTTCAAGAGCAACTGACAGTCTCTACCACACCAGCTACACCCACCTGGCAAAGGGAGAAGAGGGGGAGCCATTCCTAAAGAAGGGAAGTGCCATCCACAGGACTCTCCTACACACACATGGCACAATTGTGAAGCGAGCTGGCTGCAACTGGCAGATATTTTGCACACCTGTGATCCAGATTATTTTGCACACCTGTGATCCAGATAGCTTACCAGAGAGAAAAACCCACATTGAAGCTGGTTGGGAGGACTGGACTCAATCCAGCGGGCTGGCGCACACACGGACAGCAGCTCTGGGAACACCTCAGCCTCCTGGCAGACAGGATGGGTTAGTGAAGTGGAGTGGCCCCAGTGGCATTCTTTGACCCTGAGAGCACTGGAAGCTGAGGCTGAGAAAACACTGTGACTGCGTGAGAGGATGCAGGGTGTAGTTGGATTCTGGGCAATCACGGAGTGCTGCTGCACACTTTCAGAGCTCTTCAGTTGCCAAGAGCAGCTCATAGCAGCGGGAATTGTGCTCACAGGAAGGACTGTTCATATCATTTGTGTGGTGCATACGACAGTGTGGATGAGTGTTGAATGCACTGGGGGCTAACACCTAGGTATCCTCAGCCTGGAGGAGAAGGAGTGGTCGACAACAGAGTTGATCATTCTTCTCCATCCAGTTAACCAGAAGATAGCTACCACACCCAAACTGGGTGTTAACCTGAATACTCACCCCATCCTGGAGCACTGACCAGAGCTCAAGACCTTTTGGTATTCACTGAAAGTGTAGACATTCCACTAAGCCTCAGAGGCCTAGATCAAAATAAAAGCCATCAGAGGAAAAATGAAACAAAACAAAACAAGGAAACATTTTACAAATACCTAAAACTAAATGCAGAAATTCAAGAAACAAGAATAAGGAAGACACTATGACTCACCAAAAGAACAAAACACTTTTCAAAATTAGAATGTGAGGGGCTGGCGCTGTGTCACAGTGGGTTAAAGCCCTGGCCTGAAGCGCCGGCATCCCATATGGGCGCCGGTTCTAGTCCCAGCTGCTCCACTTCCTATCCAGCTCTCTGCTATGGCCTGGGAAAGCAGCAGAAGATGGCCCAAGTCCTTGGGTCCCTTCACCCGCATGGGAGACATGGAAGAAGCTCCTGGCTCCTGGCTTTGGATCGGCGCAGCTCTGGCTGCTGTGGCCAACTGGGGGGTGAACCATTGGATGGAAGATCTTTCTCTCTCTCTCTCTCTCTCTCTTCCTCCCTCTCTCTCTCCCTTTCCTCTCTCTGTGTAACTCTGACTTTCAAATAAATAAATAAATCTTAAAAAAAATTAGAATGTGAATATAAAGAGATTGAGGAAATGCCAGAAACAGAATTCAAAAAATTAATCATAAGATTACTCAAAAGCAATCAGAAGCAAATCCACAAAATAAGAAAACCTCCATATGATATGAATAAAAATTTTTCCCATGAAATTGAGATGTAAAGAGAAATCAAAAAGAAATATTAAAAATGAAAGATTCAATAGATCAAATAAAAATGCAATGGAAAGCCTTAACAACAGATTTGGGGAGGCAGAAGAAAGAATATCCAAGATAGAAGACAAACCTCTGGAAATTATACAGTCAGACCAAAAACAAAAAGAAATTTGAAAACTTAAAAACAATGTTGGAGATATATTGTATACTGTCAAACAACCCAACATATGGGTCTTAGGAGTTCCTGAAGGTGTGGAAAGAAAGAAGGGACTGGAAGGCCTACTTAGTGAAATAAACAGAAAACATTCCTAGTTTGAAGAAAGGAACATCCAAGTACAGGAAGCACATAGAACTCCTAACAGACGTGACCAGAAAAGATCTTCACCACAACACATTGTAGTCAAACTTTCCACAGTAAATCATAAAAAAGATTCTAAAATGTTTAGGAGAGAAATGTCAAATTACTTTCAGAGGATCTCCAATTAAACTCACAGGTGACTTCTCATTAGAAACCCTACAGGCTAGAAGACAACAGCAAGATATATTGCAAATCTTAAGAGAAAAAAACTGTCAATGAAGAATAATGTACTCTGCAAAGCTCTCATTTATGAATGAAGGTGAAATAAAGACCTTTCATAACAAACAAAAATTCAAAGAATTTGTCACCACTCATCCAGCCTTATAGAAGAAGCTAAAGGATATGCTACACAGAGAAACACAGACAGAAAGTCATCATCATGGAATAATGTGAAGGCAGAAAATCCCCCAGTAAAAGTACAAAAGAAATCCAAATAAATGATAGGAATATTTACAGAAAAATGACAGGGCCAACTAGTTACTTATCAATAGTCATCTTGAGTGTAAATGGACTCAACTTTCCAGTTAAAAGATACAGACTAGACTGGTGGGATGGATTAAAAAATAAGACTCATCTATTTGCTACCTACAAGAAACACACCTCACCAACATGGATTGGAAGAATCAACAGCTTCGAAATGTCCATACTACCAAAAGCAATTTATAAATTCAATGTGATCCCAATCAAAATGCCAAAAACATTCTTCTCAGATATAAAAAAAAGATGCTAAAATCTATATGGAAACAAAGAGACTCTGAATAGCTAAAGTAATCTTAAACAATAAAAACAAAGCTGGAGGCATCACAATACCAGATCTCAAGACATACTACAGGGCAGTTATAATCAGAACAGCCTGATACTGGCACAAAAACAGACATGTAGACCAATGGAACAAAATAGAAACTTTAGAAATTGATCCATACATCCACAGCCAATTTATCTTTGACAAAGGAACAAAAATCAACCCCTGGAGCCAAGGCAGTCTCTTCAACAAATGGTGCTGAGAGAACTGGAACTGAACTCCACATGCAGAAGTATGAAACAAGACCCCTACCTTACATCTTACATAAAAATCCACTCAAAATGGTCCAGAGACCTAAGTTTATGATATGATACCATCAAATTACTAGACAATATCTGGGAAGCCTACAAGACATTGGCATAGGGAAAGACTTCTTGGACAAGACCCCAGAAGCACAGGCAATCAAAACTAAAATTAATAAGTGAGATTACATCAAACTGAAAAGCTTCTGTACTGCAAAAGAAACAATCAGCAAAGTGAAGAGGCAACCAACAGAATAAGAGAAAATATTTGCAAACGATGAAACTGACAAAGGATTAATTTCCAGTATAAAAAGCTCAAGAAACTAAACAAGAACAAAACAAAAACCTAGTCAAGAAATGGGCAAAGGACCTGAATAGATATTTTTGAAGAGAGGAAATTGAAATGGCCAATAAACACATGAAAAAATGCTCAGGATTGCTAGCCATTGAGTAAATGCAAATCAAAACCACAATGAAGTTTCATCTCACCACCAGTAGAATGGGTCTTATACAGAAATCAACAAACAGCAAATGCTGGTGAGGATGTAGGTAGAAGGGTACCTTAATCCATTGTTGGGAATGTAAACTGGTACATCCACTGTGGAAGATATATGGAGATATCTCAGACAGCTGAATATAGACCTACCATATTTTTTTTAACATTTATGATATATTTATTATTTTTCTGATCAAAGTTCAATGATTTTTAAATTTCCTTAAACAAATAACTATGAAAAAAGTATTCAAGAAAATAAAATACAAATGGGAACTTTAACCATTAAATTGCTTCTTCTAATTTACCCTATCCCTACATTTAGTATAGATAACAAACAAAAACTTTGAAGTGTTAACTAAAAAGAGAACTGAATTGTTTTAGCATAAATCTAGCACATGTGTGTCAAGGTTCCACCAAGCTCCATACAATCACAAACATCACATCACAGAGCACAAGGAACACAATCCATTAAAAGCAGTTCTTGTCCCATATCTTCAGATTATATCAGAATAAAGCTGATAGTTCTGCCAGGCTCTGAACCCTCAGGACCCCCAACCTAACTCTTGGAAGCAAAGAGTGTGCCCTGTCATACAACTTTGTACAAATTATAATAAAACAAAGCCTAAACTTTCTTACTCTTCTATAGCAAATGGTCAGTTATTTGCTAAATACTAAAACATTGGTAGGAATCCATTTTATGAGTTTGTTTACCAAGCACATTGTGCAAGGACTGACTACACAAAGAGTTCCTTTGAAATTTGGTCCACAAATTCACTTAACAGATTGAAAATTTAAAACCTGCAAGAAAACAGGAAGTGGGAGTCCCCAACCCTAACATATTGTAATTACTAAACATGCATATTTAAAAAGTCTTGCTCACAGAAGGCACAGACTATGAGAGATTTTTTTTAATAAAAACAAAGGACTAGCTGGTACCCTTCTTTGTTTTGTGAGCACCATAACTAAGATTAAGTTAAACCTGAATACACTATCTAGTCCTGTGACCAAAACAAATTAACATAAAGAATTTAATTTGTCTTTAACTAAATACTTTCCAGCCATTAATCTGAGATGTAATTTTGAAAGATTAAAATTGTCTTCAAAAGGGTTTGTGACAGCAGCTATCAACGCAATATTCAAGCATGATGTCAAGGAGGACTTCAAGTTTAGAGTTAGCCTTCTTTGTCAAAAATTTTCACAACTTCATCAAAAACTTCATCAACAGATTTAGAAGCATCTAAAGCCATCCAACTCCTGGGGATTTATCCAAAGAAAATGAAATCAGCATATGAAAGAGTGTTTTGTACCACAATGTTCATTTCAGCTCAATTTATAACAGCTAAGATACAGAATAAACCCAGCATCCATCAGCTGAAGACTGGAAAAAGAAATTATGGTATATATACATTATGGAATACTACATAGCAGTAAAAAGAAATGAAATTGTGTCATTTGCAACGACATGGATGCAACTAGAAACCATATACTTAGTGAAATAAGACAGTCACAAAAAGACAAATACCATATGGTCTCTCTTATCTGTGGTTACCTATAGAGTACTTAAGATGTAATCTATAAGAGCAAAACTGACACTTTGGGATGTGATTTTGAACAGCTCTTGCCTTGACTATCGAAGAATCATGCTTTTCTTATTTGTTTATTTGGTTTTGTTCTTTTTTTCGTACTAATTGGTGAACTCTACTTAGTGTAGGGGTAAAAAAAACTTAGGAGTATAAAAATTAACTGAAAATTGATGTCTATAAAAATAAGAAGGGGAAAGGAAGATGGAGGAGGAAGAAAGGCTGGAATATAGGTGGGAGGGAGGTAGGGAGGAAAGAATCATCATTTTCCCAAATTTGTATGTATTAAATGCATGAAGTTGTATTCCTTAAACAAAATAAAAATTTAAATACATAAATAAAAAGAAATATAACATGACTTAGCATGGAGTTCATCCCAGTAATGCCAGGTAGGTTCACCACATTGACAAATATGATCTCAATTGATGCAGAAAAGTCTTCTACAAAATTCCACAGTTGTTCATGACCAAAAACAAAAAACTACCAGGAAATTTAAGAATCAAAGAATATTTCCTGAATCTGACAGAGTATATGCAAAATACCTACTTCTAACTTCATATTCAATGAAAAAAAAAAAAACTACATGATTTCCTCCCTAAGAACAAAAATAAGGTAAGAATGTCTATTCTTAGCACGTCCATTCAACATATGAGAGTATTTTTAAGGCTATGAATAATGGAATTAAAAGATGTTTATACTAGTGCAAAAATATTTAGAAAACTCTGCATAATTTTTTCACAAAATGTACTTCTGTGAGCTTTTTCAATATCACTTACATTACCTTGAGGAGGCAAGCATTTCCTTGCCATTTTAAAAAAAATTTATTTATTTATTTATTTATTTGAAGGAGACAGTGACAGAAAGATATCTTCTATCCACTGGTTTATTCCCCAATGGCAACAATGGCTGGAGCTTGGTCAAGCCAAAGCCAGGAGCCATCAAGGTCTCCCACATGGATGGCAGGGGCCCAAGCAATTGGGCCATCTTCCACTGCTTTCCCAGGTGCATTAACAGGGAGCTGGATTGGAAGTAGAGCAGCCAGTAATTAAATCTTCACTCTGATATGGGATGCCTGCATTGAAGGAGCAGTTTAGCTTGCTGCACTGCAATGCCAGCCTCAAGGTAATGATTTCTTAGAAATTAACACAGAAAATGCTAAC